GAAGTAATTCTTACTTTTAGAAATGCTTGAATGATTTAAATAAAATAAAATAAAAATATATGCAATGCCATACATTACTCGAAATCATTCATCGGGCTGTTGAGTTTTTGTCTAAAAGAAAGAGAGTTATCCTTGGACTATGTTTAATGTAGACAGCTTAGATATAGAGTTTCTTTTAGAGCAGACTTTCCCCAATTTGTATTTGCCTCAAACATGGTTAGAAAGAAACAGTTAAAATATGGAGGGGTGACATCAACAATAAGAATTTAATTGAATTTGAGTTGCCTGATTTTTGAAGGTGATTCAACAAAACTGTCTCTGTTCTGAATTATTTGCTGATAGAAAGAGACAGAAGAAGGAGAAAGAACTACAAAATATATGTAAACAAAAGCAAAACGCAAACAAAATTTTGCTGTAGTGCAATGTAATGGATTCAGAAAATGGTAGTTACTGTTACAAGAAAATACTGTGTGTATTTCCTGCTGTCAGTGTGGTGTGGGTAGAACAAGCTCAGGAATGGAACTGGAGAAGAACTTTAGGTGAGCCATGAACAGGTCTTCTTGCCCACCTTGAGAATTTCTTCTACTTCATGGTACCCAAATATTTCATATGCGACATATTCACATTTACAGTATTATATTAAAAATAAATGCTTATATGCTTCTTTGCTGATAACTGTTAAAATGAAATCCCTGTATTGTAAGGGTATCTGTTACTGCCAGAAAAATAGCAAATCTTCTTTCTTTCTTGCTCTTCCTCCTTAAATCACAGAATGTGTAATGAGGTTTGATGGTAGTCTTGTTCAATGTGAAAATGCTGAATATTTTCACGTCCATGATGTAAGCAATCACATTAGTTCTAGGTGACTTTATCTTGCATTCTTTGGGGATTTTTCTCACTTTTCTCAGTTGAATAAACTTAATGAAAAAAAATTAAAGTATTACTATCATCTTTAAGTGTTTCAGTTGGCTGTTGATATGCTTTGTCACTTAAATATTCATGTAGAGCTTGGGGGTTTGGTATATTCTCTAAGAAAATTAATGTATTCCTCATAAGCCTACATTATAGAAAGTATTTTTCATATTTTATTTTTATACTTGATTTTAGTCAATAGAAGAGATTCATTTTATTTTTTAAGAAAATGGAGGCTATCATGATAAAGGAAAAATTGAGGCTCAACTGTAAATTAATGGACTGAAAAATCCTCACTGCATTCACTGCCAAAAATTGCAATGAAACGAGGACAAGAGTAGTAAGAAGCTCAGAGTAAATTTAGAAAGAAATTCTGTAGGTGTCAGGTAGCAATTAAATGCACCCCTTTGTGAGGTGTGGTGGTGCATGGAAGTAATCCTAATACTTGGGAGACAGAAACAGGAGGATTACAAGTTTGGGGTCAACCTAGGCAATCTAGTGAAGTCCCAGTTTCAAAATAAATTTAAAAGGCCTGGGATGTAGTTTAGCATTCCTCTTATCTATTCAGGCCCTGAGCTGAAGCCCAACTATAATGTACGTGCGCACACACACACACACACACACACACACACACACAAGGCAGCTATTAACATAGTACTCCAGGTTTTTTCACTTCATGAAAAGTTGTTCAAATATACTTGCATATTTAGTGGAGGTTGAAAGTAATATAGCCAGCCAGTGCTTCTTTACTTTCTGGCATGTAGAAGAGACTCAAAAATAGTTCTTAAGTGCTAACTTTGGCAGCATATATACTAAAATTGGAATGATACAGAAAAGATTAGCAAAAAAAAAAATAGTTGTTAAATAAATAAAGTATTGGATATTCATGTATTTTTTCTCAATATTAAATTTGTATATAATAAAAGGCCACACAAAAAAAGGCCACAAATCAACAAATATTTTAGGACTTACTCTAGTAAGACTTAATACGTTAAAATGTTCAGGAAAATATTTTTTTAAATTTCTGTACAATCAGGAATTTGCTTATATTAGAACACACTATTAATTAAAATTCATATTATATTAGAGTTTGATTTAAACTATTTAGGATTTTCTCTTGGTCATTAGAAGCAAATTAATGGAATTTATTTTAGTTTGAAAATATTATTAGAAATTTTATTATGAAGTCTAAAAGCTTGAAATAGGATCTGATTCATCATTTTAACTTGTATTCAATAGAATGCCTTTTAAAGGTAGTGGACTTTTTTACAATTCTTGGTAAAAAACCTAATGTGAAACTACTTAAAATTCTTATTTGTTCATTTAATTTTTGATGTGTATCATGAATATATATTTATAAAATAATTGGTATATTTTAATAAATCTGTAACTAATAAAATATTTGATGCCATTATTTAAGCTTTGTTGCCACTTCTGCTGGAATCTTTACTCATTACACTTCTATTTTAAGATTGAGTTTATTTATTCAGATTGTCTGTTAATTATTAATAATCTTAGTTACACTTTTGTTATTGTGTTAAATTATTTGTTATCAATTTTTTAAAGTTCCTGTAATTTTACAAAGTCTTTACAAATAACATTGTATTTGTCCTTAATCAATAATATATTTACTTTCATAATAGTAGTTTTTCATCACTAAATTGTTCATTGTTTTTGCTACAACTTTATTTTATTTATTGTGGTAAGCAATACAATGATAGCTAGAAAGTTTGAGCATTAATCTTAATAGTTAAATAATGTTATATCCTAAATTGGATTGTGAATTACTATTTTACCTCATACTCCCAAAAGTATACCTTAAATGTCAAATCACATAATCGAAAATGTGATCCTTAGTTTATTATATTTAATTGATAAATGAAGTTTGGTGCCAAGAATGCAACTTTGTTTCTTGCTTTTAAGAAGCCAGAGTATCTCTTGATTTGAATTCAGAACATTTTTTTCAATAATGGGACAAAAAGCAGTTTCTGGACTTTTACATCAAAATTAAATTCAAATGATATTATTGAAGTATAATATTAATGTTGACTTAAATTGATTCTTGCTTTAAAATTTAACATGTAATATTATACTTTGTAATAGTATAATATAAAATAATAATAGATTGTATTAAAACCATTTAAAAACTACCTGTGCAAAAGGAGTACTTTACAATTTTTATTAATAGTTGGATTTTAAATATCTGACATTTTAATCATCTTACATAGCTTGCAGAGAATTTTTTTTTTGGTACCGGGGATCAAACTCGGGTCCTTGCGCTTGCGCGGCAGGTGGCAAAACAGCTGAGCTAAATCCCCAGCCTGCTTACAGAGAATTTCGAAGAGTTGATCTAATTAAGACTCTATACTACCATAGATTTTATTGGGCTGGTATTCTATTAATTTTACTATTAAGTAATCTTAATACTACAAAAAACAAGTGTCTTATTCAGAATCAGCCAATGAGCAAGTGGAGGAACCTGGACTAGATTTTAACTCTTTCTATTATGAAAGGTTTCTGTTTTCTCTAAACAGATTCATGCAATCAATTTCTTTGAACAATTGGATGTATATCTATATGTATAGATATAAGTTCAGAATTAGAATTTGTAGCAAAAATCTATTACTTTAAAAATTTTTAACTTTTTATTTACATATAAAATTTGTATTTATTTATAGGGCACAGTCTTATAATCTCACAAATGTTTATAATATTAATGATTAAATCAGGATAACTCATATTTCCATGCCCTCAAATATTATTTCTGTGTGTTGAAAACTTTCAGACAATTTTTGCTCTAGCTATTGCAAATGTACAATTAATTGTAGAATATTGTTATGTAATATGCTATAGAATACTAGCACTATGTCTTTCCCACTAGCTGGATTTTGGTGCCTATTACCCACTGTCTCTCTATGCCCTTCACTTCCTATCCTCTACTGACCTCTATTAACAGTTAATATTGTAAATTCACTTGTCAATGGACATCTTTGTTGCTTCCATCTCTGGCTGTTGTGAACAGTCCTTCAGTGAACAAGGTAGTGTAGCTGCCTCTTGGACAGAGTGATTTCCCCCCCTTTCAATATATAGCCAAGGAGTGAGATTACTGGCTCTTATCTTTGTTCTATGCTTTTGAGTAACCCCTGCACTGTTTTTCATAATCACTATACTAATGTACATTCTCACCAACAATGTATAAAAGTTCCTCTTCTTCCCTATCCTTGTGAGCATCTGTTTTTCTCTTTTTTTGTTAATCCTTTAGTTGATGTAAAACATTAATATTGTATGTAATAAGATAGTAGAATATAACATTTTGACACATGTATACATTGTGTAAAGCTTAAATTAGATTAATTATATTTATATCCTCAACCATTTATCTTTTCAAAATCCTTACAGGTTTTTAAGACATACAGTGCAGAGTTGATATCTACAGTCATCCTATTGTACAATTAAACACCAGAGCTTCTTGATCCTAACTATAACTCAGTACTCACTGATGATGTTTTGAAGCCATTAAAAATAAAAACCCTTTATCATAGAACATACTAAAGTACATGGGCCAGTTTCAGCCATAATTTGCCAACCTCTATTTCCTGAAAATCAAATTAATTGGCTACTTACTTCTTTATATTTGACTATATTTCATAGTACTGGAATCATACAATATGTAATATTTTTAAACATGTATTATTTTTTACATTTCTTCTTTTTACCTGAAGAGCTAAGCTTGGAATTTGAAAGATATGTATTTTTGCATATGTTTTCCTCCATCAGATGAATGAATAAACACATAAGCAAAGTATGGGCAATGAAAATTTCCCCCAAATGATAGTTTTGTGCCTTCTCAACTCATAAATGTACATTAAAGGAAAATTGAAATTGTTGAAAACAAGTCACTTTTTTTCTAAGGGATCTGCTTTTTTTAGGACATTTTTGTTCTCAAAATTTCAAACATAGTTTTTTATTTAAAATTGTGTAAATGGAAATATCCATGAAGCTTCTTAGTGAAGGCCTCTTTGCTGTGTATGTCTCCTTTTGGGAATTCCAGATATTATATAATGCTTGTTTGTGTGTTTGCTATCTAGCTACAGAGATTGCAAGCTGAAAATCCTTCAGGGTGGGACAACACAGAATTAATTGAAACAGAAAAACAAGGACTAGAGAGAGAAAACAGAAGACTAAAAGTCCAGTTGAACGAAATAGAAGAGCTCCTGGAAAGGAAAAACAGATTAGGTGTAAACTTTCAAAGTCCTGATGTCAAGACATCACAAATTGAATTGCAAGAAAAGAACAATGCATGGTGTTCCTGGAAGCATCTGTTCTCTTACTGTGTATTTCCTTCTGATGCTTAGGTGGGTGCTGCTTTCTCCCTGGTCCACCTCCACATCTGAATATATCTCTTTGTGCTAATATCTGACAGCTTGCTCTTTTCCTGTTTTAATAAATGTAATGTTGCTTATGTATCTGAAATAGAGTGTAACAAATTTTGGATGAAAATGTGAAAATATGACAAAGGAAGACAAGATGCATCTTGTTTTGCTTTCCATTATAGCGTTGTGTGAGTATTTTCTAAGCTATTGAGCTTATTTTCAATAAATGTGCTTATCTACTAATTTGAGCATCTCTACAACAGCATTTATTGGTACCTATGATAAGTATTTGCATAAACATTTAAATTTACCTGAGGCTTACTGTTCTCTGATTCCATTTTTTGTCTCAGAATGATTATTTTGATAGGGGCCAGAGATTTAACTCAGTGGCATGGCGCCTGTCTCCCAAGAGAAAGGCCCTGAGTTCGATCCCTGGTACCACAAAAAACAAAAAACAACAAAAAAGAAAAACAATAACCCCCCCAAGAATCATTATTTTTAGTCAATTAAATGCAACTTTTTTTCAAAGAGCTCTTTTAACCATAATGTGAAAACCAGGATTAAATTCAAAAATTTAACTTTGGCAAATTTAGATTGTCTGGATGTTTTTCCTTTAAGCCAATAGAGATGGGGCCTATAGAAAGGAACGTTTTTTTCTTTTTATAAATAATTTGCAGACTTTTAAATGTACTTTCAGTGATAGACAAAACTATAATTTGTGTGGTTTACTATAAATATGCTACAATATATATGCAGCTTGCTTACAAATTCTTCCATTAAAGTATCTATAGTATCTAAATGTATGATTCAATTTTCTATTCAAATTCTTTTAAAAACTTTAAAAGTGACTGAAAATTTCATGGTTGTAAATTATATAAGTTGTTCATACTCTTACAAACTCTAAGAGCTAAATAGTCAAAACATTTAATTCAATGTCATTTGCCTATTTCATAATTTTTGGGATGTATTACAAATTCAAGATTAAAATGCATTCATGCTTCATGACTTGACAATACAAATGTTTAAAGTTAAATGTCATAGTCAATGATCATAACTTTGTATAGTAAAGATTTATCATCTATCCTAATGCTGTATTTTGTTCTGAAATACATAAAACTCACAAATCTGTAGAGAAACTCTCCTGATTTCTGAACAGAATTATCTCAATTAAGGAATGTGGTTTGATAATCAAAATACGTTTTTCTATTTGCTTCATTTAAATAGGACAAGGTCATATTTATGTCATTTTTGTGTCAGCAACTACTCTAGACTCTAATAATGGGAAGATGAATGAATCATCAACCCTGCCAGACATGAGCTTAGAGTCTATGTAGGCAGACAAATATGCATAACACATTGAGAAGATTGTAAAGAATAAAGCAGAATGAGAACATAGATAAAGAAGTAATTCTTTCTACCTAATTTTGAGACCTTTCTAGTTATATCAAAATGTCAGGATGTAAGATAAGTCAGTGAGGGAATATGAGGGCTTATGGCAGTTGTTTGGAGCTGGCATAGGTGCTATTGGCATCTCCTGTCACCAGGGTTCACCAAGGTCAAACCTGAACTGCTTGGGATGAGGCACAATTTGGAAACTATAGGATTCTGGGAAGTCTAGCCAAAATGGTGGGTCTGTTCAATACTTAGAAGATTGTTAAGACTGTTTAAGTGTTTACCAGTTTGATGCTGACAGTGAATATTGGTGATTTTTATCCACTTCATTATGAATTCAGATTCCTGAAACCAAAATAATTACCTATTATGTACCTGCTACAGGTCAAAACCCTAACATCAGAAAATCTCAAAATGTCAAGATTCAGGTGTTTCTATATACCAAATGAATCAGAGAAATGTAAAATATCAAGTGAAAAACCAGGGAATGAGGTAGAGTTTATCATAATACAAGACATGATTATAGTTTTAATATCATATATATGATATTGTATATGTATATATACTTATATGCCACATATAAATATCATATCTCTCTTGTCTTTTTCTGTCTCTATATACCTATATTTTTCTGTATATTTGTGTAGATATGTGTGTGTACCATATACAGTAGGATCTTTTATTTCATTTTTGTTGACCTCCACCTCATAGGGAATATATTTATAAGAAAAGTACATCTCAAATTTAAATTGCACAGGTTAATTCAAAATCAAAAACTACTTTTACAGGAGTGATTTTATCAGCTTAATCTCCACCTGGTAGTTATATTTATGTAGTATATTTAGGCATATGTATGCATCATTCTTTTTAATTTAAGAAAAACAGCAGTACATCTGATCTTTTTGTGCATACCTTAGAAAATTATCACTCAAGTATTAACTATTTTTAAAGCATAAATAACTATCATAGACTTTTCTAGAACAATCTCTGCATGTAGACAGTATGATTTGTTGTAGCTTCTGAAAATAATGGCACTGTTCATGGATCTATGGTATTAGTGTAATTCACAAAATAATGACATCAGACAAGAGAATTTCAGTGTCAGTATTCTCAGAAGATAGCACTCATTTTAAATGATGGCAAGACATTTGAAAATTATATTTATTAAAATGTAAGTAAATCACACTATGTATTTTAAGAAGAAGAAGATGAATATATATTTTAAACTCTTACTTTTCAGCCATTAGTAAATTATATTCTTGGCATATAATTTTTAGGATGTATACTTCATCCAACATTTTTTGGGGGGGTACCAGGGATCAAATTCAGGACCTTGTGCTTGCGAGACAGGCGACAGAACCACTGAGCTAAATCCCCAGCCCTCATCCAACATTTTTTAGAAATCAATCTACATTTAGAAGTATGTATAAACAGACCTATTAAAATAATTGATATGATTTATTTTTTATACAAACGTATGGAACATTCAGAAATTAAATTTAGTAGCATGAGCTATTAGAAAAATTTCTTAACTTTCTTTTGCAACATTTAAGTAAATAAAAATTCTATAAAAATTTATAATGGTATGAAGAGTAGTGTATACATGTTACATTGTGATATGGAAAGAAATTACTAATGTTTGGTTTTTAGCTCTTAAGTTTTGAATTTCTGTATTATGGTTTATAAAGTATATTATCACAGTAACCTATCTACATAACATAATTAAAGGTAAATTTATAACATTATACAAACAAAATGAACACATGCCAAGTATTTCATTTTACTCATTTCTCAATGAACGAACCAGCAAGATATATATTATAGCCAGATCACAGGATTATGTGCATATAAAATTGTTGGCATTGAGGAATACTGAAACAAAAGTGCTTAATAGATGGAAAACTGGGTCTTCTATAGTGGGTAGGGGAATAAATTTCTCTGTCATAAGTCATAACTCCCTCACATATGTATGGGAAGAAATCATTTGCTTTGCTATAGTTTGTGTACATACTATATGGAAAAACAGGTTAAAGATATTCAAAGTTGTAAGAATGTATAGAATCTTCCTTGCAAGAATACATTAAAATGACCTAAAATTTTTATTGGCACAATTTTATCTAGCATTATAGGTTATTTAATGTGACTGCTTAATAAAAACTTTTACATATAAGCATATTAACAAACACTTGGGAAGTGATACTCATGGCTAGGAACTGGCAGACATTTTCTATAAACATCAAGATTGTAAATGAATCAAAATATTTAGCTCATATAAGGCCCTACTGCATGCCCCCAACTATACAAAACAAATATTAATGGACATGAAAAATCAAATAAGCACTAATACAATTGTAGTGGGGGACCTCAATACCCCATTATCACATATAGACAGATCATCTAGACAAAAAATCAACAAGGAAATAATAGAATTGAACCAAGCTTTGAAGAAGTGGACTTAATGGATGTCTACAGAGTGTTCCACCCCACAAAATCAGAATATACATTCTTTTCAGCTTCACACGAGTCATTCTCCAAAATAGACCATGTTCTAGCTCATAGAATATGTTTAAGTAAATGCACAGGAATTGAAGTTATCCCTTATATATTATCAGATCATAGTGCAATTAAACTGGAGATCAACAGCATAAAAAACTGCAAGAACTGCACAAATGTATGGACATCGAATAACACTCTCCTGAACAACCAATGGGTCACAGAGGAAATTAAAGAAGGAATTAGACAGTTTCTACAATTAAATGAAAATTCCAATACAACATATAGGAATCTATGGGACACAATGAAAGCAGTTCTACAAGGGAAACTCATAGCAGTAAATGCCTATATTAGGAAAACAAAGTGAGCTCAAATAAATAACCTTAATGCTTAACCTCCTAGAAAAAGAAGATCAAGACCAACCCAAAGCACATACAAGGGAGGAAATTATGAAGATCAGAGGAGAAATCAATGCAATGGAGACTAAGAGAATGATATAAAAAAATCAATGAATGAAAAAATAGGTTTTATGAAAGAATAAATAAAATTGATAAACCCTTAGCCAACCTTATCAAAAAAAGGAAAGAAAAGGCTCAAGTCTATACAATTAGGAGCTAAAAACATAAAGTCCCAACAGATCCAGCAGAAATCCAGAGAATCATCAATACCTACTTTGAGAACCTATACTCTAATAAAATGGAAAACACAGAAGAAATGGACAGATTCCTAGATACATATGAATTACCAAAGTTGAACAAAGAAGATATAAAATGTCTAAACACTCCAATTACAATCAATGAAACTGAAAATGTAATTAAAACTTACAAAAAAAGAAAAGTCCAGGTCCTGATGGCTTCACTGCTGAATTCTACAAGACATTTAGAGAAGATGTATTGCCTCTACTCTTTAAACTCTTCAATGAAATTAAAAGGGAAGCAATACTTCCAAATTCATTCCTGGATGCAAGTATTACTTGGATTCCAAAACTAAGAAGACCCAATCAGAAAAGAGAACTACAGGCCAATCTCCCTAATTAATATATGCAAAAATTCTCAATAAGATACTGGCTAACAGAATACAGAGGGTCATAAAGAAGATCATACACCCTAATCAAGAAGGATTTATCCTAAGGATGCAAGGATAGTTTAACATACATAAATCAATAAATGTAATACACTATATTAACAGTCAAGGACAAAAGCAATATGATCATCTCAATAGATGCAGAAAAAGCATTCGACAAAATCCAACACCCATTCATGATAAAAACCCTACAGAAAATTGAAATGGATGGTCTTTATCTCAAGCTAAGAAAAGCTATCTATGAAAAACCAACAGCCAACATCATACTAAATGGTCAAAAACTGAAAAACTTCATGCTAAAATCAGGAACAAGACAAGGATGTCCACTATCACCACTGCTGTTCAATGTAGCTCTGGAAACATTAGCTACAGCAATTAGATAAGAGAAAGAAATAAAAGGAATAAAGATAGGAAAGGAAGAAGTTTAACTGTCTTTATTTTCTGATGATATGATACTTTACATAGAAGACCCAAAAAACTCTGCCAAAAGACTTCTAGACTCAATGGACAGATTCAGTAGAAGAGCTGCATATAAGGTAAACACTCAAAAATCAATAGCCTTCTTGTACAGAAATAACAGAGGCACTGAGAGAGAAATGGGGCAAATAATTCCTTTCACAGTAGCATTCAAAAAATGAAATATCTATTAATCAATCTAACAAAGGAAGCAAAATACCTCTACAGTGAAAACTACACCACTTTGAAACAAGAGATGGAAGAGAATATAAGAAA